CCCCCCCCCCCCCCCCCCCCCCCCCAAGAAAAAATAAAATAAACCGGGTTTGATAACCGCGGTTGTTCGTTTCTTAAGAGCACATACGGTTGTATTTCTTTCGACGAGCATTACATCGCTTGACCTTGATTGTTATGAGCTGTTTTATTGCTCGTCTTGTGACCGAGTTTCCTCGCAACTAAATCAGGGCTGCTCTTCTTTTTCCGTCTTTCCCAGGGAGTAATTGCTCGACTTGGGCCAGTATCCAGAATACTCCTGATGTCATTCGTTCTTCACAACTCGGCCATTGTCTCTCTATCGATGTTGATCAGGAGCCAAGGACTGTGGAATGTTTTCGAGAATGTGTGTTCGATTAATATCTGCCCCTTCGATACCTTCGCCAATAACTCCATGAGGATCATGATGTACAATTAGACTACGGTCCTTTCAAAAGGAATAGAAAACAGTCGCGTCATTTTGAACAGAAGAGTTGAGAAAATCATCCTTATCAGCACAGACATATAATCCTTTAAAAATCGAGGCTTTCAATTCCTCGTTATATAGCTTTCACGAAATCAACGATTCCGGGTTTTTTTCCAACCAAGTGGCTTGGATTAAATTCAAAGTTGATGAATCCACCGTACTTTCCTTATCGACTAGATGATGTATTCAGTTAACGGCCAATCACAGTACTCTACCTTCACATTGGCACGAGTAAAATCAGTTGTTAGACTTTCGCGTCTTCTGGGCGACAGTCTGTAGGGAAATCCGCTCACCGATGAGTAGAACAGTCGACAAAACAAGGGGCTACTTGGTAAGGATGTGAAAAGGCATTCTTTGCATTGATGCCCAGAGCCTCGGCAGTTCTTTCAACGTCGATGAAAGAGAAAAGAAGAAACTACCACCCCAACGAATTGTCGAAGTCGAGCATGGCTTCGGTCACATTGGTCGTTCCTCGGTGTTTCTATGGCGGATGTGACTGAGATACACTCCATTTCTTTTCGTCTTTGACAGAGAAGACGGCTACAAAGAATAACTTGTGGCACCCTCCACAACCACGAACACGCTGAGCAAATAATTGCGTTTGCTCTGCCCTGACCTCTAATTAATTGTTTGCGAGACCATCGATCATGAAAGAAACCTCCAGCACTCCCTACCAGACACATGAAACTCGCCGAATGCAAATCTTCATTGTCGTTCCATGTATTCATAACGTAAAATAGCTTCAATTTTTCATGAAAATGGCTTCAATTTTACAACGTCAATGATAGTTGTTATTTATATGTTAATTGTACAATTATGTGTAAACATTCATTTCATGAAAACTGATAGGGCGCTAACTTTCGTATATACCTTTTCTTTGCAAAACGTTCTTTTTGATAAATGGTTTAATTTTATTGACTCAATAAACGTATGGGATTGAACCATTGAACGTGTTCAACCACAAAATTGAAGCTTAAGTCGTTCAGATTGTTTACAAAAGACGCGATACACGACAATATACTCGATTCAAATATGCTCAATTCTATAAGAACTTATGTGACACAAGTAAGGCTGATAACACTTCTTGTTTTGTGAAAAATCAATAAAAATACGTGTTGGATTCAACAAGGTCGCCATCAACTTACATGAACGGCCTTTGTGATTGGTTGATGAGGACAATAAAAGTCAATGAACTATAGAAATTATATTTCTAAAGATCAAGTCGTATAAAACAAAAGTAATAAAAAAATAAGTAAAAACACTGATCATGATCACGATATTGTTTCCAAAAAAAAAAAGATGAACGAGGTTGTATTGTTTCATATGAAGCCAATCACAAAACACGATAAGTTTAACATTGTTGCTGGCGCCATCAGCAGGCTCTCCTCGGCCACGGATCACTCGTGTAGACGATTCTTGAATTGGATGGAAATAAAATCTGATGGAATTAATATGCAAAGCAAAACCTTCGTCAGAAAACAGTAACAGAAACGTGCATCATTGGATCCCGTGCCCAGCGCAAATTTCGAGACTAAGAGAGTGGCACGTACGCAAACAACATGCGAACAAAGAAACGATATTCATTTTGATGGAGTAGTAGAAATCAAATATTACGTAGAACAAACAGAATCACTAAAAACTGCAGCAATCAGTCCATAATGACATTGTATATAAAACTTATAAACCTTGACGTCAAACCAATTGAAGTTGCGCGTTTATATGTTATTTGTAGCCACGATAAATTAAAATAAATGGAACTTGGCAAAAAGCTTTGTGTCAACCTTTTTTGAATTAGCCGTATAGCTAGAATTGCCTATCGACTGTTTCTGTGCCTGCATAGTCCGTTCATTCCGAGTGTTTCAAGAGCGCGCAGACCAAGACGTTTATGTCAGACAGATACATATATGCAACGTCTGTTGCGACTCTTAATCTTAGTTTTATACAGATATGTTTGTTTGGTGCTTAGTATAAAAATCCACTGTTTTCAGCATTACAAATTTGCATAAGCATGCAAAGAAACAACCTTAAAGTCTAAACTTTAACTCTAAGTGCGCAAAGCTTAATGGAGCACGAGTTTCGAGCTCAATAGTTGAATATTGCAGGTTTTTGTGAATGAGTTGTTCTCGTAAGGAAATATTTACCATGTATATGTCTCCTAAGAAATGGGCCCCTTGTACGATTTCTAAACTGATTAAATGATGCTCCCATACTGCTTTGCACGCTTAGAGTTTAAGGTGTAAGGTTAGAGTAGTTCGCAAAAGACAACCTTTTCTGAATTAGCTGTATACTAAATTTTGATGTAGGCAAGAAAAACAAAATCCAACAGCACAGCTAGAAAGAGCAATCTTAAAATTAGTAAAATTGCAAAGTTTGGCGGTGAAATGCGGAAAATATAGCCCCGTGCATGAAAGTGTCTACATATACATATAATACACATATACATATGTTTGTATATACATTACATATATACATCATGAGTTATCGGAGTTGTTAATGGTGACTAATTAGCGATAATGCAAAGCTCACTTCCCTTGTGGTTGTTTGAGCACTCTGGCCCCATTGCACTCTGCGCATGTCTGGATGCGTCGATGCCTTCGTGTTGTACCACATGCGCTTGGTGAGAGCACGCTCATGTGTATAAATAGGAGGTATCATGTATCTAAACGTGTACCAAGCTGCACTGACGAGGCGTTGAACGCCGAAACATGCATGTTTGCAGATTGTATTATTACCGGCTCATCCATTTCGGAGGCTACTGTTTGAGACTATTGTATACCTGCCTCGTCCCCAGGCGCTAATAAAAAATGTGCGAGTAGTGCGTCGCATTATAGGCGCGCAAAGGGGAGTGGGATATGAGCGTTCTGGTGCCTCAAGCCCATAACTCCCTGCGCTTGTTCGTCGCGATGCACTACTTCATGTAAATCTTTCATATAGTGACTCGCATGAATTTTTTTATTAGCGCCTGGGGACGAGGCAGATTGTATAACTTACGTTTATAGCAAATCGTCCACTGACAATTTTTCTGCTTTTCCAAAATTTTCCTGCTTTGTTTTTCAAATTATACATTAATTGTTTCCCAATGCGATCTACAGATTTGTTTGTTACAGATTGTTACAGATTTTTGCACTGCTGTTTGAGATTACCGGCACTGAAATGAACCAATCACAGTCGAGTAATATTTTTTATGTACATTGTTACATATTAACTAAGATCGTATACTTCCAAATAATATTTATCGAAATTTAGAAGCCTGCAATATTTTAAAGGAAGCCCTACAGTCATTTTTTAGTCAAGTAAGTATTGTTTACATTTTTTGTTATTGTCGCTACTTGACATGCGCACCACAGCGTGCTCATGGATACTGCATGTAAGATACAGCGAAGCGAATCTCCGTGGTGTCCCCTACTTAAGGTGGCTTTTCGACTAAAAAATGACTGTAGGGGCCCTTTAAGACGTTTATATCAGTATATGACGCACATTATTACTACAGTTTCAAAACAATGCCGTGCTTATATTATTTTAGGAGTGAATGTATAATAAAGAAGACCCAAAACTGTTAATGTGTTATGAATTCTGTGATATTTCATTTATATAGCTTCATCGAACATGCCGATTTGTTTGGAAAAAAATGCGCCGGCATCTAAGCTAGCGTTTTGCTTTGTGGCCTCGCGTGTCCTGAGGGCGAATGAAACTGATGACACATGGAGTAAGTTTAATTTAAAGATTAATAATTACAAACCATTGTAATCAATTAATTACAAAATTAAATACGCTTTAATAAAAACGTTGGCATTTGAATTATAATCTTTTCATTATTTAGAAGAAAGTAACATCGCTCTAATCCATTCTGAGCAGAAAAACTGGCAAAACCCTGGCGCTATACGGCTATTAGCCCAAATGCAAGGGTCACCCATGGGTGTTTACAGGTGGCAATGCTGTGACATCGGGCACCACGCTGTATATGTAAGTTATGCTTTTCAAACGCTGTATACAGCTGATTCAAAAAAAGGTTGTCCCTCGAAAATCGCGAATCTTTATTATTATTATTATTTAACATTATTTGAAAACGGCAGGCCTTCGGCGGTCAAGGGACCGTTTATGTACTAGATACATCATGAGCAGCCGATCTGTACCTGCTATACAAACTCGAACCGAATTATCGTATTTAAAAGATGACCCATCTTATGGGTTCATTGACGAAGTAATTTTGAAAATAAACATTGTCTAAGACGAGAAAATCAAAGCTGAAGTTTATGTAAATCAGGACAAATCTTTATCCGATTTACAAACATTGATTAAACATTCGTTTCTTTTGTATTTTCCTCCTGAATTATTAATGAATATTTTAAGAATACATATATACATTTGTAAATACAAATACTCTCTATTTACAATAATTTTAACAAAAGAGAGAGAATTTAAGATAATTAAGTTGTCGATGCCTTTCTCTCCAAGTCTTTGTGGTGATGATTTATTAAAGTTTCAATAGAATACAAGGAAAGTTGGTCGTATACATCGACAATTTCAGCTGGAAGATTCTTCCGGGATACAGCTCCGCGGTATGAAAAGCTATTTTTCACAAAACTTGTGTTTGGTTTAATTTATTTAAAATAAAGTTTCAGCAAACCGGTAATTGGGCGTCTCACTCCGTGATGCTTTAAATGTCGTAAATGTGTTCACGTTTTTTAAGAATAATTTCAATTTTTCCCACCTAATATTAATTTTTCAAATATCTCTGTTAATCTTATTTCATAATTTGAACCCGTTATCACTCAAGCGGCGCGCTTATGCAATTTGTGTAGTTTTTTCAATATGTGCACAATTACCATCATCCCATACATTCGAACAGTATGTGAAATGAGGTAGGATAAGTGCATTATTGAACATGTTTAGAAGTGTATCTTCACTTACAAATTGCTTTGCTCTTTTCAAGAGAGCAATTGACTTTTTGCATTCTGCATCGTTATGTTCTTTCCACTTTAACTGTTCATCAAAAATGACCCCCAAGAACTTTCTTACTTACCTCACCGCGCTTGGTGTGTCATCAGGACCACTTCCAGTAATTATATATATAGGTGTTACCCAGGGATCAATCCTTGGACCACTTCTATTCATAATTTACATCATAATTTACATTCATAATTTATATCTCGTGAACCAACCATCGCACAGTATACGGTGCTTGGTACCCCCCAGTTAAACGACCAAACAGAAAGATCTTGGGCATAGATATCTTATATACACTAGATAGTGCATCTAATTATTCTGCAATTCAAAAATTGAAGCCGTGATTGCAGTCTCAGGTCGTTCCCATGAAATGAGAAAATTCGTATGTTTTCTATTTCTTAAACAGGGAACTTAAACAATTAAGTTAACCCTATTCCAATTACATTTTTAAAGTATTCAAATGATGAAAGTTATTATTGTTTTTAAGCGTTTATTAGCAAGTGGGAACTACCAATATGGCCGCCATCTATTCAAATGGGGGTAACTGCTGCAATATTCTTGGCTTCAATTTTACTAAAAGAGATGCGCTATCTAGTGTATATAAGATATCTATGATCCCAGGCTTGGCATGTCTATTACTGGTGACACTTGCACACGATCGGTTACCAATCGGTCCACCAGGCACTCTGCCTCACTTTGGTTTGCAGTCAACTGGCTTACGGGAGTCAAAGTGGGCACCTCAGACGGTCAACAACATTTTAACCATCGAACGTGTCCAGCGTCGTGCCACCAAGTTCATCCAGTATCAACATGTCGTTTGTCTTTATCGTTGTTTGTTTCAATTTGTGGCCTGTTAACAGTGGCGTAGACAGGGAGGGGGGCAAGGGGGGCTCAGCCCCCCCCCCCAATAGGCTGAAGGACTGCCGCCCTCCCCCCCCCCAATAGGCTGAAGGACTGCCCTTGTAAAAAGATGAAATCCGGGTAGAAATTAGGGGGGGGGGATGATGACTACCCATGTGACTACCAATCTCATCTGTTCACCAAATTGTCTATAAAAGTTCTAATCTTTCCTAAATCTAACTACAGAAAATAATGCCTATGGTGGTTATTGGTTAAAATGCGTTTTAAAACTTCGATTTAACTATTCACACGCGACCAAGTAAGTTTGTTGAGTCAAATCAAGGATCCACATTATTGAGAAATCATTAAAAATCAGGTTTTTCCTGCGGTAAATAATCTTCAGAATTATGCAAAATCTCTCCCCAGAAACACGGGAAATCGCCATTGAGGGACTCCAGATTTCAAAATTTTCCCGGGGGAGAATGCCCACCGGACTCCCCTAAAAAGACTTACGCCTTCGGCGTTCGATATATGCCCCCCCCAAAAAAAAAAAAATTATAGTCTGGCTACGCCACTGCCTGTTAATTCCTTTATCTGTCTTTTATTATGTCTATAATATCTCTCACGATATATTGTCAGTAACTGTTATATGCATGTTGTGAAAACCTGTTATTGCATCGAGACTTCTTCTCTGTGTGATCATTCCTGCCATTCATGTGCAAAGCTTATATTTTTAATAATGACAAACTTGTCAAATAAATAACAAATATTAATAATTTTCTATTTCAAGGTGGTTTGTCTCAGGATGAACAACGGATGGGAACACGCCAAAGAGCAGCATTCTCATAGCCAGCAACGATATTGAATCTACCAGGTATTTTAATCGATTTTTCGCGTCAACAATTAGTGTTACGTTTGAGCAACGAAGTATTCGCATGATGTTTGTATATTCTCGCACTGCTATAATGCACTAGTCAA